TAGTTGCAATCTAAACTTAGATTATTCTTCTATATTAAAGACATACAGTCTAGTTCAAATTAAGTATTCAACAACTTTCACCAAATTGAAAAATGACAAGATAACGATCTTGGACCCCTTTGGAGAAGGTTGACCTATTCTTAATATGTCAATCAAAACTATTGAGATTTATTTAAAGGAGAACCAACTTCTGACTTTATTATACATCATGTTATGAGTAATTAAATGATTGCTTCAACCTTTCAGCATCAGTTGCTGAGAATTTTCATAAATCAATTGAAACCTTAAAGAATATAATTTATCCTAATTTATAAGATTGAAACATTAAAAATTGTTTGAGCCTACTCACCATAAGCTAAGCTTAAGTAGTGAAAGCTCTAAATACTTTAATTGTTTTCCCCTTGTGCTAATAAAATTTAAATTACTACCGCCTGATATGAATGATGTTACCTAACAAGGGTAGGATATTGTTGTGAAAAAATAGATCCTCTCATGTAAAAAAATGATCATGTGATCATGTTATTTGATCATCACCACTCATTTAAAAATCATATATTTTTCTCTTTCTTATGTCATCATAAATGAATTGTTGTGATCAAATAACATGACCACTTTTCCACATGAGAGGATCCAAATCCACCTGGGCAGGCCCGCTAGCTTAGAGCCTAACGGGCTAAACCCACATAGGGTACTTAAAGGCCCTTTCGACCGAGCAAGGCATATCCGGAGTGGGTCGTAACTCGTGTACCCGAATCATGGCATCATACCCATGATCCTCCCCCACCCTTTAGTACCCACGATCACTCCCTAGACAGTACACATACTTCATCTGCCATCCAGCTTCTTCACCATTACCACCTTAGACAACCACGTGGTGTATTCGGTCTCCCTTATAAGCCGACATCTAACAATTATTTCACCTTTTCATTGATTTCCTTCCTTTTTTCCGGGTAAAACTTCTTCTTTTATGAGCAGTGAGTCATATCCAGGCTTGATTGATAACCTGTGACAAGTAAAAGAAAGAGCAACTCCTGGTATATCTTATGGCTTCTAGGTAAATAGGTTAGCATTCCTCTTTAAAAGGTCTTTTAGTTATTTGACCGTAATCTCTTTCAGGTCAGAGCCTATCTTCATTGTTTGTTCTGGGCTTGAACCCAGCTGGAAGTAAAGTGCCTCCCTTTGGCTCTGGTCTGTCTTCCCAGTCTCCAACTCTGGGATCTAGCTCCACTAACCTGATATGTGGTTCCTTCTCTTTCTTTTTCTCCGAGTATCCAGGTACTCCAATAACCTGCTCCTGCTTCTCTTCTCTATCTTTCTACTTATAGCTTCTTTCTCTTGCTTTATCATCTCCTTTTTTCTTGCCTTTTTCCGCCTTTTTTTAGCGGGCTCACTATCATGTGGTATTCTTGAACTCATGTTCTAACAGCTACGTGCTACAAGTTGATTTGCTCTGATGGTTGTCATTTTTCCGTCTTTTGCCATAAATTTCATGGATAGCTATTTAACAGATAAGAAAATCTTGAATTTCTTTATAAAGGGTCTTTCAAGGATAACATTGTATACGGATGGAATGTCCACCACAGCAAAGGCCAAAGTCACCGTCTTGTGTGTAGGTGTTTTGCCTAATGTCATCCTCAAAATGATGTACCACATTAGATTAATTTTATCTCTGGTAAATGGTAACAACTTTGCGCCACACGGCTCCAACTGTCTGAACGCATCCCAAAAATAATATCAACCGAGCTCCTTGGGTCGACTAGCATTTTGTCTACCCGATAGTTTGCAAAAAGCTTAGAGATGACTATTGGAACATCATTATTGGGGTATATTACCTCGTCATCGAAATCATCGAAGACAACTTGTTTTCCTATCTTCTTTGAGTCGAGGTCTCTCGATGATTGCCAAACAAGTCTTCAAATATTTTTTCTGAGCATTGCTCGAATCTCCGCCTCCTACCCGTCCTCTGATAATGGTACACACTCGTCCGACTTCCACATTGTTAGATGGTGACAAAGTGGGCTCCTTATTCGCTTCTTTCTGCCCATCCCTTGGCAGACTCCTACTTCTGTTTTCTCTTTTTCCCTCTTTTCCTTTCTCTACAATTATCTTGACCTCTTCTTTTGACATATTTTTGCAGTTTTCCCTGTATAATCAGTTGCTTAATTGCATCACACAGGTTGTAGCATTCATTGGTCATGTGTCCATAGCACCTATGAAATTCACACCACTTGGTCATGTCCATATGTGCGTGAACCGACCTGATATGAGGTGGTCTCTGCATGTTGCGTATCTCCGTGTTCATCACTTCTTTCAATATTTGTGTCCGGAAGGTGTTTAGAGGAGTATAGTCCCCCCTAAACCGCTCCTTGAACCTTTCTCCCCTTAGGCGAGGTGGTCTTGCTTCAGCTTGGCTCCCGGTAATTGGTTTGTCTATTCTACGACCATGAGTTATTTCTCGGAAGTCACGCTCTATCTCCCTTTAGGAAGCCTGAAACTCCTCCAAGTCGATGTACTTCCTGATTCTATTTAAGAGTTCTTCTTCAGTAGTCGGTTTTTTCTTCGCCATGGAATTGGAAAGGCCACCTGACTGTAGCCTGATTATAAACAACAATAAGTACGTTTAGGTCTCAAGACCTCGAACTTGTCTGGCTTCTACCTAGAAGCGTTCTTAGTATTCCCTCAAGCTTTCCCTGGGTCTTTGACGAACTCCTCATAGAGCATGAGTGGTCTTCCGCTGTGAATATAGTTTGCAAATTGCAAATTGAAGCCCTGTGCTAAATCCACCTAATTGTCAATAGAATTGTCTGGGAGGGTTGTGAACCACTCCAAAGCTTGCTTTATAAGGAAAACAGGGAAGGTCCTGCACAGTAATGAATCTGTTTCCCCACATAGCGACATTGCTGCACGATAAACAATGATGAATTCTCTGGGGTCAGAGCTTCCATCAAACATCTTCAGATCATTTGGTTGCCGGAACCAGGCCGAGATTGGTTTCTCCCTCAGCTTCCAAGTGAGGGGGGTTCCCAACGGTCCTTGTATGTTGGGTTCAGATATGAGGTGGGTATTGAACATACGGGTAAGGAACTCGGGGAGACGCAATCATCCGCTGGTTCAGGGTTATGGTCCTCCAAGGATCCCGCCGAGTTGCTTTGAGTCGTGACAGATTCCATAGAACCTGTAATGCTTCTCTAGGCCCTGGTAACCTCCTTGGAATCCCTGATTCGGCCATCAGCCCTGATGAAACTATCTTTTTCCTCGGAATGGGTTGGGTGGCCCAACCCTGTGGTGTGCTCCCTAGAAATATTGACTTTCCAAGTTATAGGTATAATGATACCCATGTTCATGAGGTTCGTCCCTTCTTCCTCATATCTAGTCTGCGATGGCCCACGACTATATTCTACATGATCTTTTTGGTGATGTTCCAGTCTTCGACCCTTTTGTGAGCATCATGGCCTCCTTGATCCCAGGTAATTTGTTTTTCAGGCGGGCTCCTGGACTCCCGAGAATATTGTCGATGACTTCCTGGGTTATCTTCATTGTGATTTCCTTCCTGCCTCCGGGGTGGAGACAAGGGAATATAGTTCGGTGCAGGAGACCTTGAGTCTCGAGCTGGAGCGCTTCTCTGGGGTGTATGATGTGACCTCTCTACAGAACGAGGCCTCCTCCTTCTTCCATCCCTCATACGTTCCCCAAAAAAAGCTTGTTGTTCTTCTACCAATTGAAGCAATGCATGTCTGATGGTGTTAAGAGAACGACTCCTAGCGTTAGACTAGAAAGAGTTTTCTTCTTCTGCATGGAATCGTCCGTTCTATGGAAGGTCGTGGTGATTGCAATGACTTGCCATGATCGGAGATGGGATTAGAACTTTACAATTCCCGCAGATGGTGCCAGATATTTAGAATGAACACCAATAACTAGAGTAATGTGCTAGTGTTTATGTAGGGTGTAGAATCCAAGGTTTATATGATAATGGTCTAGTAGTAACGTAATTAGGCTGAGGTATGAGAGTATGGCAAAGCTTAGTACATGAGGTAGAATACGATGTGGATGATGAAGTGTCCTCCTTTAGCTACTGTGAATATATTTATATGAGCCTTGGGAGGCAGTTATCAGGGTGATTGTGGGCTTAGTGTAGTTCGATTAGGGAGTGATCGTGAGTTCTAAAGAGTAGGGGAGGATCATGGGTATGATCCCACAATCTTGGTTCACGAGTTACGGCCCACTTTGGATATGCCTTACTCGAACGGAGGGGCCTTTAAGTACCCCAAGTGGGTTTAGCCCGTTGGGCTTCGGGTTTACACCCGAAATACTTACCATTACTTGAATGAAGAAATAAATAAAAACAAAAATATAAGAAGAATGAACTGACACAAGTATGCTGCCCAACAGAGTTCCAATTTAATCTGTACGAGTTACAGTAGATAAACTAAAAGGGTTTTAAGTATGTCGTGTTGCAGGAAAGTGGGTATATTATGCCTTAGAAACACTAAGTGTGTGGCCCATCGATTTTTCTAAAAAGGATAAAGAAAAAAAGAAAGCACACAAATCGATTGGTCAGAATAACAACTTTTTTTTTTTGGGTTTTATGTTTATCATTTAACATAATATAACTTCACTTTCCTACACACAAATTAAAGAGGTGAGGTCCACATGTTTTTCTTTCTCTTTCATCATTTCACTTTCTCTTTCCCTTTTGATGTGAGAGTTGGAAACAACACTTACATTATGTTACATAACACTAATAAAACCCTTTTTTTTTCCTATGACACTCACATTTCCCCTAAAGTAATCCTAAATGTAGGCGCAAAAAGAAAACCATTATACTTTTGAGGGTTGTGTTATATCGGCAGCCTTTATGTACAAGTACTATTATTCCATTGAATTTCATTTGTAGTACCTTATATATCTGTTAATTTTGCTGATCTACTGTTTACATATATACGTATCAAGTGATCTCTGACAGTTGTTGCAGCTTCTGATATTTCGTTCTCAACATTTATTCATTTAAGTTGAATGAGACTGCACTTCAGGCTTCTTTCTTTAAGCTGCCAACACAGAGTGAAAAGAAATTAACCATAAACAAAACATTTCATGTCTAGAAATAAATGAGCAAAAGCATTCTGATATTTCAAAAATTGACCACAAAGCTTTGTTTTGATTGACAAAAATGGAAGTTTAACTATTCACGAGGCACTGAAACAAGTAATATTTAGTTACCTCAAGGACACAAATGCTCCTGAAAAGATCATTGAATTCCTCCAAGAGCAACTTCTCTTGTGCAACAACTTTTGCTAATTCTGATAGTAACTCGGCAGTCTTGTCAGCCTAATTATAAAGGAATTTCAACTTCGATTTCAGTTTCAAGTACTCACCAGATAATAACAAGACAAGTGTAGTGTTACCAAACATACCGAAGGTGAAAAGCTAGATAACACTAACTTAATGGAAGATGTGATATCAAATGCGTGCCGCTGAGCAATGGAGGCTAATTGTATGTCCACCTATAAGCATAAGAATTCTGTAAATGCAATTTTCTTAACATTGATTTGTTGCCCAATTGTCTTCTATTGAACTTACCTTTGCACCTTCCAAAAGGGGAACTTTGCATACAACAGAATACAAACACTCCTTCATTGAGGTAATTGCAGCTAGGTGTTGCCTTTCCATAATTCCCCATGTTTCCAATAGCTTCATCTACCAAAACCCGCATAGGGAGATGAAGAATTACATCTCTATAATAAAAATGCATTTGCGAATAATTCAAATCTTAATCAAATGAGATCCACAATTAAACTTACTTGAGAATGCAACACAAAATTTAGCTTCATCTCAAGCTTTTCTCTCTCAAGCTGTATCTTCTTTTTCAACACCGAATGTTGCAACTTTGTGAGACCATCCAAAGCATATATCAAATTGCTCTAAACACATTACACAATTCACAAAAAAAAAAAAAAAAAAAAAAAACATTAATCCATGGACTCAATTGAGTGGAAGCAAACTACACAAAAGGGTGAGCCATACCTCTGCTTGAAGAGATATATTGTGATTCACAGCATGCGCTCTAGCATTTGCAAATCGCCATTGGATGAACTGGTTATGAAGCAGACGCAGCTTATGAAAAGCTTCAGTGTTAGCAAACCCCATGGAAGAGGAACTCGTTGGAGATTTCTTAGTCCTGAAGAGATCAAAGCCCATGTTCAGAATCTTCTCCACGCTCTTGTGTGGAGGCCTCAAGCTCGAAAAGGACAAGGGTTTCTCTTTCCTTTCCATAGACATGGATAGTGAACTTGATCTCCCAGGTGACAAACTCCACTGAGACTTTGAACTCAAATACCCAGTAAGCGAACTAGTCTTCTTGATCCGTGAATCATCCAAAGACAAAGGGTTCGAAAAATTCAAATCCGAAGTTCCCCTTCGAGCACTTGTTGCTATGTACTTGGATGAAACCTCCCTCCCCGATTTTTTCGAGCTTCGTGTTCTTGGAAGAGAATTGAGACTCGCATAGTCCAATTCTGAATCAACTGAATTCGTAGAACAATCTAGATTTCTACGAGAAGACAAAGACGAAGAAGAAGCTTTTCCCGGAAAACTGAACCTCGTGGACCTACCAATAACGGGTCGATCGTTTTCTTTGGAGATTTTATTGTTCTCGAAACTGTTGACCTCCCTGCAACTCCTCTGTTTTCTGAGAGGAGAAAAAACAGAGCTTGTTGTTGATGTTGCCGTTGTTGTTGTCTTCGTTGGTTTCTGATTCTGACCATCAAGTTTATCTTCCCTGTCTCTCAGCCTATCGTTGCCGATTTGATCAGCGAGAGTGCCGGAATGTTGACCGCGCCGTGACCCGGGTTTGCGGCTAACCGGTGAAAGGCATGAAGAACCGGGTTCTGGTGGACCGGTTGAGTTTGAGCTTGGAGAAGGAGACATGAACCGGGAACTCACTTGACGGCTTCTGGGTTTCGTAGAATGATTAGAAACCGTAGAGACATAGTCATTAGAGTCGTTCTTCATGGGATGGGTTATAGAACAGAACAGAACATAACAGAGGTAGCAGAGAACAAAGGATGTTTAGTTTTATAGATGTAATGTAATGTAACGTAACAGTAAGTGCATGAGCATGGCGCGGCAAAATATTAATGCAGATATATGCGCCAGCACATCAGGGGTTCGTTTGTTTTCCTTTTTGAGTTCAAATTATTCAAGTGCATCTTTTTGGTTGGTTCATCTGGGTTATTATATATTCAGGGGAGATTCTTAGATGTTACTATCTGTTATATAAAGTTATCATTTTTATCTTTAACCATAATTATTATATGTTAATAAAAAATTAGTTTTAAAAAATTTTAAAAGAATGAAAAAGTATATTATTTTACGATTATAATATGTTATAAGGATCTAATCAAACTCGTGAACTCGATTTTGATATAAGTAGACCAAAAATTATAACTATTAGTCAAGATACAACTCTTTTTACTTATTCTTATCGGTCCTTTTGACCTGCAGTGGATATTATCAAGACATGAGATTTGCCTCACCAACATCAATTTTAAAGGTTAAGTCAATTGTCATTAATGATGTACACTGCTCATAGGTAATATCGATCAACACAACTGTTGTAGTATTAGTAAGGTTTCAAGTGATAATAAAAGAGTATATTTAAAATTTCTAGTGTGAATTAGAAGGCAAATATGGAAAGTGATGTTTTGTTTGTGTAACGATGTGGTGAAGGTGTTAAAGCAAGGAGCCAAGTAGTAGGTAACAACAATGAAAGTGGAAGTGATTTGGTGAGAATTCCGCCCTTTGTGTAACGCCTGCAGTTTGAGGAGCCAACGGATACAATTTGGCGAGAACATTAGTCTTAAAATAAATAAATGCTTTAATGATGTGAACATTTAATTAGTGTCTGTTTTTACTTTTTACTTATTTTACCTTCCGAAAAGTTAAAACTAACTAACTAACTAAAATAACGTGTTATGATAAAATTATCGAATTATTTAGTTTACAAATACCGTAATAATAGGGATACGAAATTTTCAATCTTATAAAGTAATCAATGCAATCGATTGATTCTTCAGACCGTTTTGATTTCAACAAGAATGATATCAACACAGACCTTAACCGTTTGTACTGTCCAAGGGAATACTATTAAATTGAAACTTCAAATGAGGTACTGATATTTAATACTACATATCTAGATATCAATGTTACTAAACTCAAATTGATGAATGACTCGGTCGAAGTATCGAATTAATGATGATTTTGAACAGTTTAAATTGAATTTATATAAAGATATATAAATATAAGTAAAATGACAAAAAAAAGTAATTTGGCTTATTAATTAATATGTCACTCTCTTTTTTTTAGGTGCCAAATTTAAATCTCAAAAATGCAATTTTAGTGGAATATTTTGTTATTTTTTCAAAAACTGATTCAACCAAAAAATCAATAGCTAGATTAGTATTGGTTGAACTCAATTTTTGACCAGTTCACCGATTCTTGATTCAGTTACATACATAACTAATTAATTAACTGAATCAAATTAGTTAGGGATCTGGTTTCGAGGTCAACTGATCCGACCAGCTGGAACAGGCCGGTTTTAATAACACGGCTACAAATAGTAAAGTGGATAAGATGGGTTAAAAATTTCATCCTGTTTCGTCCCGTAATAAAAAAGTAGATTTTTTTCAAAAATTATACTCCCCATAAATATAAAAAATATTAAATGAAGAGCAAAGTGTACAAAAACAGTAAATGATTAATATTTAAAAAAATTAGAACAAAATTAAAAAATCAATCACTCCATTCTCATCGAGGCATATTGAAATGTTTTGATCCGTTCTTATGCAGGCGGGTCCAAATTGATTGACAGGTTAAGAATTTCAACTCATATTGTCTTTTACAGTGAGTTAAACGAGTCAACTCGACGAATTATATCTATTTTGTCACATTTATTTAATAGTCAATGGCTCTATATTGTGATTGTTTTCTAACATTAAATTTATATTTTTCAATAAATTTCAGATAATGAGTGAACAATTTAATATAAAAAAAGATAGTTGCAAGTCTGAATAAACCTCTCATGCTCATGTTAACATAATCTTATTATGTGAGAAAATTTGATCATATCAATATAGGGTTTCTCATTTCTGCTGTCACTGCTGATGAAAAAATTTACAACAAATATATTTACATAAGATACAGAGCCGAATTCTGAAATTAGAAAAAAAAATTCAAAATACAAAATCGGATCCTAGTAGAAATAAGTGTTGCTGCAAATCTTCTGATCGGCAGCAACACGAGAGCTATTAAAGCCATATACTAAATATCATAATTTTAACAATAACGTTTGTCAACGGCGGACTACACTGGTGCACCTGTCTACAACAGACTACAAGTGCAGACACACATATTTTGGAGAGAGAAAAAAAGTAATGATGAAGGGCACTAGCTTTTGATTTGAAAGATTGTGGTTCTCGTTAGGAAAAGGAATTTAATGTCATCCCTTGAAATGGATTTGAACAAAAATAGTGGTGTTTCCTTGATCCAGGAGTGCAAGCCTAGAAGATAAGATCTTTTTTCTCTCTGTCACTTGCCTAAATGATCTTGGCCCACAATATTAACAGGATGGAAGCCAACTCAATTACCCAACCCATACCTAAGGCCCACACTTGCAATATGAGTTATCAATTAACATCGTTAGTGGACTCAGCCACCCACAACGTGCAGAAGAGTGTGTATTGTATAGTAGCATAAAGTGGATGGTAATCAAATGAAATTGCTATTAACCAGAATTTAGCACTCACCAATTGCAATATTGTTTTCTATAGTATAAAATAGTAGAAGAAAAGGAGTTTTAATTTGTAACATTAGGGCTTTCTATAGTATAAAATAGCATAAAGTGGATGGTAATCAAATAAAATTGCTATTAATCAGAGTTTTATGTTGAACATGATATATTTGATGAGATTGATGACGAAGATATAATGCAATATTTTCAAGGAACAAAGAATCGAAGAATGTTTTTGTAATCGTTCTATTGTAACATTTTAATTGACGATTACTATTTTTTTATGTTAAGTTGAAGTTTTCTTTTCTTATTTATATTCTTTTGTTTTTAATACATTTAAAATTTTCTTTAAAAAAAATTTCGGGAGCAAAACCCCCACCCCCAAATGTACAGACATAAATATAATTTTCTGAGTCCGCTACTAACGTTTATAAATAGAAAATAAGAGTGATTATTTTAATTAATGACCTTAATTTTTGGATGAGATTTCTAATGTAATATGGTTATGCTAAAATGAGACATTTGGTGATTTATTTCTAATACAATCATATTATTTTTGTTTAAGCATATGTCAAATTTTTAAACAAATGGGCAATGTTAAATGTGGATTTTCAATCCTTGTACCTCTCAATTTTGTAAACTCATAAATATATACAGAATGATTGGTTATTACCTTTCATTTGCAATCTTAAAAATATATGAATAACTATTGGTTAGTACTTTTCATTTGTAATCTTTTGGAGTTTCAACAATAACGCAGTTAAAATTCATTAAATTTTGCCCTGCTTTGATTACCAAAAAATAAAATAAAATTGCCCTACTTTCTTGAAGGGTGAGAATAATCTACATATTTTTGCCGCATGGCCTTGTACTTTTCTTTTCCAATCTTCAACCAAGGTTTGGGGTTCTGTTAGGGGGCGTTTGGTTGAAGTTTTTTATTTGGTTCTCCATCTATCTTGAAGTGGCATTCTATGATTGCTTTGTTTGGTAGAAAGATTAAAAAAATTTAGCTATGCTTCTCTTTTCCCCATCCTTCACAAGCATGTGCAAAATCAAAAGCAAATCATGGTAGAACTTTACCATTTAGGATGTGGTATTCCTAGAAAACTAGCTAAAATGCAAAAAGGTGAATGAAGAGTGTTACCATATTGCCCTCTTCTAAGTACACATGTCTACATCTCTAAAATATCAAGGGTTATTTTTGGTATTTCAACACATTTACCCATCATTATTTCACCTTCAACCAAACAAAAACTCACAAAATTTAACTCAATTTTCCCGGTAAAATTTTGACCAACCAAACAACTTTTTTTTAACTTTCCTACCAAACATACTTTCCAACTATTTTCCTAGTAATTACATTTTCTTAGTATTCAAAAAATTTATCCTCAACCGAACGCCCTCTTAAAGTGCAATGCAAGCCCTTGTCAATTGAAAGATCCACATTTGTGTAGCTGAAACCTAACGAGAGTGATATAGTCGTGTTAAAATTTTTACACGATTTGCATGTCAAAATTGTGTGGGAGTAAATCTTCTCATGTCTTATTAATTAATTAATAAGATCATGCCATGTAAGGCAATAATAACTATATAAAAATGAATCTATAGTGATAAAGGATGAGAGTTAATATATACTGAGATAGTAAATTACAAAAATATAATCGTTGATTTATTCATTGATGGTTAAGATCCTCTTCTATGGCTTGATCATGTTAAATAACACAAGAGAGAATATATTTCCAAATTTGTGCGTGTCTTTCTCTTCTTAAGCATTAAATAAGTCGGATCTAATTGAAATTTATCAATATTTACGAAAAAAAGAAATAAATACAATTTTAACATGATCAAATTATGTGAAATTTTTACGTAAGAACATCCACCCCAAACCTAATACATACCGTGATGGATCCAAAGGCTCGGTCAACCCATAAAAGGTCGATAGGCCAAGTGGCAAGGTACCAAATTTCCACAATGTCTGGTCTTCCGATCAGTAGCGGTAGATGCATGGTACATTCCTATTCCTCCATTCAACCAAATCAAGTACATTCATCCCAAATGTCTATCCACAACACAATATGCTCTTATTAGAGGCTAAGGGTGAATCAAATATATATGTTATCAATGAAATGTTCCCATGCATCTCTCAATAGTTCCATTAATATTGACATTCAAATTAATAGAAAAAATATTAGAAAAATTAAGATCTCATTATTTAGGGTTTTGATGATAATAAATAAGTAAGATTATATCATTTAATAGTATACTTTAAGTTTTGGAAGTGTTTTATAGATTTTTATATGTGATAACTTGTGAAAAAGAAAATACAAGAACTAATGAATGTTAGGTGGACCAAGGGGAGCCCATGATAGGGGACCAACCACAAGGCTAAGCTAAACCAACCTCATCAAATGAGACTGACACCATGTTTGAACTCAAAACCTTAAAACATTGGGTTCATAGGTCCTTCTATTTATATGGACTTCACTTAGCCCTTTATTAACTAATGTAAGATTTCATCACACTTAAATATCACAACAATCTCCCCTAAGTGTAAAATCTCACCTTAATATGATCCCCCTAGTACTTTAGGCCCAAGAACACTAGTTCTTATTTGAAAATATTAAAAAAATTTAGATGTCATAGTTTTAAATAAAATATATTAAAATACATAAATAACTTACAAATTTTTTTAAAATAAAAAATTATATCAAATCCAAATAAATTTTTAAAAATTAAGTTTTAAATTGATTGTCAATATTGTTGATGGGTGACTAGTGACAGTGACCGATGATGGTGGCTAGTGTGGTGGGTGACAGATGGAGGTGGCCGGTTAAAGTGGTGGTGGTGGTTATGGGGGCCGGTGATGATAGCTGGTGACAATTGTGGTGGTTGACTAATGGTGACGGCAATGATGGTTAAGGGTGGCCATGAAGGTTGGTTCATGGTGATTGTAGGTGGCGATGACTAGTTGGTGGTGGCCAATGGCAATAGCGGCAATGGTGGTGGTTGGTGCGGTGTAAGCACATGGGGGTGGCTACTGAAAGTGGTGGTGGTCGCGGCATCAGTGGTAACTAGAGCTGGCAAAATGGGCCCAGCCCGCCGGGTCGTCCCGCTGCCCGCCAGCTCGCCCGGGCTGATTTTTTTTTTTTTTTTAATTTTTAGTGTAAAATGTCACGGGCTTGGCGGGCAGCCCGCCCCGTCCGCCCAAACGAGGCGGGACGGGCTGAGATATCTAGCCCACCTTCAAAGGCGGGGTGGGGCGGGCCAGCCAGCTTTTTGGCGGGCTTATGGCAGGCTAGGGCGGGGCGGGCAGCCCGCTTTGCCACCTCTAGTGGTTACCGATGGCAATTGTGGGGGCTAACTGATAATGGTGGTGGCATTGTCAGTGGCGGTGGCTCGAGGTGGTGGTGGCGGTATTGACGGTAACAAGTAGCTAGTGGTGGTTGGAGGAGGTGGTAGCCGACGACAATGGTGGTGGCTAATAGCTCATGGTGGTGGACATAATAGGTGGTCGAGGTAGCAGTCGTCGCCGGCAATGGTGGTGGGTGGTCAGTGGCAAGGACTAACCCATTTGGTATGACAAATAAGATATAGGCTGCACTGGCTGCTAGACATAAGTTTCCAAGTAATCATAAACCAAAAATTGCAAATGCATTTACTGAAACAGTTTATCAAGAAGTTTATATGAACAGCCTTATGATCCACTGCTCCCTTTTAAACCATGCAAGGAACACTGGAATAACTTGAACAAGGGGAACAGAATAACAACCACTAAGACCATCTACATCATATCCTAACTCAAAACTTCATAGGCCACCAAAATTCATTCTTCTTTAGACTCGAGATAGCTTTGTTCTCCACAGTCATACTATCATCCATGTCAAGTGCCTATACCCAGCCCACTTAGCAGCAACACGTAAGCCAATAGCTAAAGCTGCAACAAGGAGTGGAATTGGAAGCCTCCTCTCCTTAGTTTCAACTTCTTCAACTTCTTTCCCTTCTGCAACCATTTTGGAATACTGGTAAATAGCTAAGGCCATGTATGAAACAATCACCAAAACTCTAATCCAAGGCTCCCCAACAGCAGCAAGCACAGCTGCAACAGGCATAGCAGATGAAACATCATCTCTCTTTTTGAGGAATTTTGAAAAACCATACAGCCCAAGCAGAAGGGTCCAGAAAAGAGGCTCAGAAATATAGCCTCTAACAGCAGCATAGCCGATAATACCAGATACAGTCAGAACATAAGGTTGGTTGTTGATACAGTTTGGTACAGTAGCTTCAGCAACAGCTAAAACAACTGATGCCAGCACAATGATGATGGTCAAGTCTGGTACAGGAGCATAGGCAATTATCCCAGAGTAAAAAGCCCGAATGGTGTAAAACAAATCCTCAATGCATCTAATTGAAAAAGTGATTGGATCTCCTATGAAACGGTATACTAATGCCAAAGCATATTTCATGAGGTATCCTATAAAATGAACGATTCCAAATGCAGCATTCCTCCAGTTTGACAGTTCAAATAGAACAGCTCTCCAAGCATAGATGAGAAAAGCCAGTACTGTACATTGACATAGTATCAAATTGTAACATGAGTCATGTCATTAAGGAAATAAAACAGTGGGACAAAAGGGTTGTAAATGAGAACTGAGAGCATAAACTTTTAACCTCCAGATACAAGGTTAAGTTCATATTTGTAAACAGCATCAATAATAGACAAAGGAAAAACCTAAACACAAAGCCAATCAACCATTCACACAAACCAAAATTACTCTTTTTCTTTTCCTTTTTTAAATATCATTCTCAACAATGATAAATTTCTCCAGATATAACTAAATGGAGATGAAACAAACCCCAGAAAAAATCGATGTGCGAAATCTCCTTACAATGTGGATTCATTTATAAATAATTGAATGTGCGTCTAAAATGTTCTGAATCATTATTCCAACAAAACTTGAAGAGCTACAGCACCGATACTAAATCTGGAACTGAATTTCAACATAAGTGAACAGTTTCATCTAGCTAAATTGTATCATGTCAGAGTCACAACGCTTAATGCTTGAATAATTTTCAATGAAAATAACATGACAAGTGCCAATTGCTTACCCATGTCAAAAAAACATATTAACATTATGAACACTCATGCTTTATTTATTTTTTATTTTTTTCAAACAGTTTTCCCCATCTTCCATTTGGTCATCGACCCTTCAATTAAAAAAAATAAAAAGTCAAGTTTTAAGTTTTTTCTTCATCTAATCTCTTCCCAAATTTTCTGGATAACGAAACGTCCTAACAGAGAGAGATTGAACTAACCCACAAACCATGGCCACCTAACAGGAGGATCGGGAGCTTCTTTAGCGAGGTACCTAAACCGCTCCGGCATAGTGCTCCCTCCTCGAGCCTCCTTCTCAGCTTCGTCCACCCCAACGACAGCATCAGCTCCACCCTCTCCGTCGTTTACAACGAAACGCTTCCCCAGTGAGACTCTGGGTGCCTTTGGGGAAAACCCAAAAAGGTTTTGTCTGAATTCTGGCCTAAAGGCTTCGACTTTCGTCAATGGGAATGGTTGGCAGTGGCATCTGTGGGAAAAGGAAAATGAGGGTATTGTGGGTTTAAACGATAACGATAACTTGGGAGATAAAAGGGATGGGATTGTAGTGTACATGGCTATGGCTATAGCTTCGTCTTCGATTACAGGGATGGGTTTGCCATTGATTTTGAGTGAAGTGGAACAAATTCGTGAAATTGCACTACTCAATTTGCCCTCTTCTCTTTGGAATAATATTTCTTTTCTTTTTTTCGTCATTTTCTTTTGATATATATAAAAAAAAAATTATGCATAGCACCAATTAAATTTATCATTTCGTATTATTTTGTTTAGGAATGCTACTCTCATTTTACATTAGATAATTATCTTATATTATCTTACTTCGAAAATCTCATCCACTCTTTTTCTTTTTTATCTTTTAATGATGGGCTCCACGTGACCTTTCTATGTAACATGAGAGAACTACTCTCATGTAAAATGAGAATAGCATTCTCTTATTTTATTATAATCAATGGATAAAATTAAATTAAAGATTATCATTTGATATATTTTTTTTTCTCTTTTCCATGATCTCCTGTATTTATTTATTATTAAACTCTGCTTGTTTTTTATATAGATTCATGAGGCTCAAGATAATATTCCTATTGCTAATTGCTAGTTTTGTTATAAAAATATTTGAGCGAAGTGTAGTTCACATTATGTTATGTTTTATTCTAGAGAGATTATTCTCTCATTTTATATAAGAAAGTTATCTCATACTTTTTTACATCGAAAATTGTGTTGTCACTTTTTTTAATAAGTGGTAGATCCCATCATATTACGTGTCTATAATAAGAGATACATATCTTCAATACTATAAAAAATAGAACCCCTTTCCTGAAATAATATTTTTTATTGGTTTATTTAGTTGAATTTTAAAATCAACACACCTAACTAACACTATCGATGATATTTTGATTGTGGGAAAAAAAATAAAGACAATTTGTGTTTAGCGTTTAAAGAAAGGGATTTATAACAATAATATTGTAGGAAAGTGATTTTATCATATCATAGAAACACCCGATGTGGGGCCCACCTATTTTTCTAAAAAAAAAATCACAAATTTCGATGGATTTGTTGGAAGCAAATCCAATTTCCTACGACATGACCAAAGCATAACCCTTAAAGAAAAATAATATTTATACTTCTCGTGGAGAATATATAACTTTCCCCTTGCATGTTCCACCTTTTCATCGGTCTTGGATATACCGTTTGCTAAATAAAAAAAATTTCAATGACTCTAAGTGCATTTTAGAGTTAACAATCAATCAAAAAACAAGTTGCACTCTATATTCATCCCAATATTTCTCAAACTTCATCAACGTGTTTTTAGCAATGATCTTTAAAACTTCATCTTCATCGTGTTCAAACGATGAATTAGAATTCATCGAATTTTCCAAAACTTCGCTCAAAATATAAGTTAAAAGTAAGTTAGATGTGACAAAAATCAAGTTAGTAATATCATAAAATGGCTTCAAGAAAGAGAGATGATGTGGGCGGCGATGGTAATGATGATTTCAAATATAACAAATTAAAATCAAATCCAAGTCTGAATGAAGTAGCAAATATGATTGTGCTTTGTTTGGCAAGAAAATGAAACCAACACCTTTGGCACGCTTTGAGATCTAAGATTTAGAACATGTTTTGAATCATTTAATGGATATGTTATTCTACCTACCATTTTTTCTGCCTACCACTTTAAAACACCATTAGATCAGAATCTTAACTAACATTTATTTTTCTCTCTCTTTTTGAGATTCTGATCTAACGGTGTTGGAGGGTGGTAGGCAAAGGTAGGCAGAAAAAATGGTAGGTAGAATAACCTATCCCTCATTTAATTGTAATTATTTATTTATTTTTAGAAGTTAATTACCGCTATATTTATTTTGGAAATTTTTCTAATTTTTAGGATTGTAGATTTTGAATTTTGGATCAATTTGTAATTAGGGTTGGAAAATGGCCCAACCCGGCTCGACCCGGCCCAACCCTTATTCAACCCGAAAAAATGAGTCGGGTTAGGATTGACCCAAAAAAAACGAGATAGAAAATCCAACCCAACTCGACCAGAGCCGGGTTAGGGTTGGCTCGAAAAACAACTCACAGGTTGGCTCGAAATAGGTTGGCTCGAAAAAATAGCTCGCAGGTTGGCTCGAAAAATAACTCGAGGGTAGGCTCGAAAAAATGGGTTACTATGAAGCTAGTCTTATCTGTTCTTCAACAAAAATCTGTGTAAGAGTCACCAATGATAATGGTAAAGAAAGTAGCTAATGAAAAATGAAAAATATTCTCATTGAAAGCAGTCTCAAGGCATAACCATTTCACTGAACTTGCTATTTTATCCACAAAACAAACAAAAAAAAAAGGTAGAGAAATCATTGTAAATCACCAAAGGATGCTTCCTTTCTCCTTACCAACTTCGATTAATACCGAAAAGCATAGATCAATACTAAGTCCAATGTAAAGAACCGTGCACTATTTATTCTAAACAATAAAACACTACACTTAGAGTTGAAGGGGTGCAAGATAATTTCACGAAAATTTAACATTCATAAATAAGCTTCCTTATAGAAAACACAATCGCAATCGGGAACAGATGAAACAACACTAATTGACAAAACAAAAACAAAAAAAGAGTAGTAATATTATCATATTTGAACTATTTTTATCAGTGAAAGAAGAAGAAAGAAGAACCGTGATAATGGTGTGTGCTGATGTGAGAAGATTAGGGTTAAAAAAAAGTGAGAAGAAAGAAAGAAACTGACGGAGCTGGGTTGGGTGTGGCCCGTGTGGGCCTTTGTCTCTTTTATCTTTATTTTTTTAATTTAAAAAAAAAACTCAACCCGCGAGCTGGCTCATTTAACCAGCGGGTTAGCTCATTTTTTCGCGAGCTGGCTCGGGTTGGGTTGACTCGGGTTGGCAGCTCATTTTTACCAACCTAACCCGACTCTTTTTTGGCGGGTTGCGGGGTTGGCTCATTTTTGCCAATCCTATTTGTAATTAGTCTATAAAAGGTTCCTTAACCCTTATTATAGGAGTTAAATTTTGTTATTTTATATTAAAAATTAAGAACTGGAGAGTTACTCTTTTGTGAAAATCCTACCTTTTTGTTTAGCCACTTTTTTACATGCTTTCGACATTAGTGGCGGTGGTAGTGGTGATTGGTGCCTAATGCTTGATGGTTAGGGGTGGCAGTGGCTCGAGGTGCTGGTGAGGGTGGCCATTGGTGACAATAATGGTAGTGGTGGCAGGTGAGGATAAGTAGTGATGGTGCCGACAGTGACCTCTGGCAATTTTGGTGGTTGATTGATGGTGATGATGGTTCATGCCTGGTGGCTAGGATGGTGGTGGCCAGAGGTAGTGGTCGTTATTGATGGTGGCAGTTGACAATGACGACAACAACAATAGTGATGGTTGGTGCGATGATGGCATGTGGGAGTAGTCGGTGACAATGGTGGTGACAAGTAGTTTATGGTGATGGCCGGTGACGATGGTGGTGGCTGGCTAATGAACAGTTTATGAAGATAATGAGTTGTAGAGGTAGATGATGGTCCTCGTCGACAATGGCAGTGGGTTATATTCGGGATGAGAGGAATGTAAAATTTGTTATCATATTCTGTCCATGCTTAACCTGAGTACCCTTTAGAATAAGTTTCTTCTGTTGAGGATAAGATAACATGAGTCAACATGATAAGTTTATCCTTTAGTTAATAATACCATGATATAGTTTATCCTATTCATCCATACTCTGCTGACCACCAAACTGACCATATGTGTGTGTGTGCGTGAGGTAGGATCCTTCGACACCAATGTCAAATTTGAAAATTGACACCTTATCTGAGAGTCATTAGATCAAAAAAGATCAACACATCTGATTTGTAAGCATGTGACACCATTGATCTTTTTTTATCGAACGACTCAGATAAGGTGTCAAATTTCAAATTTGACACTGGTGTCAAAGGATCCTACCTCTTTCTCTCTCTATATATATATATAAGGGATTTGACTTCGGTGAAAGACTTAATAGTTTTACTCCCCTTCTTAGTCGTTGATTTTCGTTCATCTCACGGTTATTATTTATTTAAAATTAATAATTAATTATTGGCATAATTCAATAAACTATACCGTTAAATGGACAGAAATCAACGGCTGATATAAAGAGTAAAAGTGTAAGAATTCTAAATCTTATTCTAGAGTCAAAAGATCACTTCCCATATATTGCAGGATATTCTTATACCACTGTAAAAATAAGAAGTTTTATTCCAAATCTTGATCATTGATGTGCTTAAATCTAATAGCTCAAATATCTAATAAATCAGAACTGTTACATATAAATAGAATCATTGATCAAATTTGAGAGTGTAACTTATACTAGTGTAAAGTAATTCTGACCCTATATATATAGAAAAAATATTTCTCAAGCAGCTTGAGATATATTTATCTCCGTCCACTCAAAGACTATGTCATTTTTTTTATTTATTTCCTTATATTAATTGATTCACCTTTAAAAAGTTATGATTTCTTTTTTCCCTCTCTTCCTTTATCACCATTTATCAATCTTTGTACGGTTATGATTTAGTAGCCGGAAATAAAGTTATCTCAAGTAACTTGAGAAACGATAAGTCCAGATAGATATATATATATATATATATATATATATAGTGTCCAGGCATAAGATATAAGGTTTTTTTTTCCTTTTTAACTAAAAATTACGTCGTTTTGGGTGGGTGAAAGCAATATATGTGGAGAAAAATAAGGAAACAAATTAATCAATCTTAATTAATTCTAATTAAGGGTGAAACAGATCTTAACGGATTCTAATTAACAGGAATCATAACTATACAAAGGTGGATCAATGATATAAATAAGAGAATTGATCCATTTCCGATCTTAATTATCGATTCCCATAAATAAGGGGATTGATGGTAAAACTGATAAAGACAACTTTCATGGTCAGTTCAGGTATCTTTCTTCTTTCAACTGCTATTGACTTTCCTTGCCCTTGGATGGTAGGCCAGGGAAGAAATGCCATCGGTCAGTCCGAGTGGGAGTCTTTTCCGATGTCAAAAATTCTCTGGAAAATATGAAAATAAATATAATATTTTGATTTTCAACAATTAATTTTGAACGTGAACGACGTAAATTTTCCCCCCACCCAAAACGACCTAGTTTTAGGTGACATGACAAACAAT